GCGGAGACGGCCTCATTCTGCACTTTTATTGGAGCGTTGCATCAAATTATCAATCTAAATGTAAAGTGGACAGTATAGTACTAATAGCTTGTGTCACCATGAAAAAAGATGTGGGAACTTATGGAAATCATAAAGGCAGCATTAGCCTGTTAAGTGCAGCTTTTCCACCCTGGAGGCGTTTATTGGATGAATCAGAGGACTTGATGGGTTCAGCGGGGTTTCATCCAGAGACGGCATCTTGATCGAAAGGTGTCATTTCTCCACCACGATCTACTTCCTCTGTCGGCAGAGCGTCGCCGCCGCCGCTGCGTGGGACTGTTTTATTTTTACATTTGAATGCAGCATTTTCAAGGCTCCAGGTTTTATGGTAGCAGGGAGCCGCGGTCTCAGCGATGTGCATTTGAATGCTGTCCTCGCTCCACCTCTACTTCTTGCTCTCTAAATGAGGACAAAATTAGGACAGTCTCACAGTTTTTTTTTTTTTTTCCTTTGCTGCAGTGTGCACAAGTATCCGGCCCCCTGTGGACAGGAGCTGATTGTTAAGATCTCCTGTTTGTCGGAGGCTGATTGTGTCCCATAAACAGATGAAAAAAAAAAATCCTCAGAACATGACCCCAATAAATCACGACATTTAGGAGGAAGTGTAGTTTCATCACATGCTTCAAATATCTTCCTTTTTGCTCCGCTTTCTCCACATCCAGAGTCGGTATTAAGCATCTTTGGCACATATGAATCAATAATGAACCTCGGTGCAGCTCAGAAACTCTCTTTTTTATCCACTTATCCAGGGTTGAAGCTACCTTTGAGGACACTAAGGTCATGGTATTTCTTCTGAGAAGAAGTCAGAATAGGTGAATATTTTATAGGCTTCTTTTTTTTCTCCAGATCTTTTAAACTTGCTGTATTTTGACCAGTCTCGGGTCAGCATATAAATGAAGGAAGGATCATTTGCCCAGCAGATGTTCATACCTGGCTGTGTGCCGAATTGATTGGTGCTGAAAACCATCTGCAAATCGGGTATTTGGGAATTGTGGGATAAACGATTAGATTTTAATTTTTAGGTTGAGGAACTTTAATGATTTTTTTTTAGACGTAGGAGTCCTTAACATCCTCTTTGTGGCTCTTCCTGTTCCTTCAGTGTGTTCTATAGCTGCTCATTAGTGCATTTAAAGACCAAATAGTTATTCTGTCCCACAGAAAACGTTTGAAGTCCGAGCGTTTCTGCCTTTACTTAATTGCGTCACCATGCGGTACATTTGCATTTTGCCTGCCTAGCAGCTCGTTCGGCACGCCCTCAGACGATGACTGAGCAGCTTCTGTTCAGTCCGTCATTATTTCATCACTTGAGCCACTTCTGCAAGGTCTCTTTGGTCCCCCTCGGCTTTTTTTATGTTTCCATTGAAGTGTAGGATTGGAGTGCTCCAGAATGATGAAAAATAGAGAACGTAGCTGCACTCAGAGCGATGCACGTTTTTGTTAGACTAAAAGGTTAATTCTAAGATGGCGACATTAGTGATAAAGACGACTGCTGCTTGACAAGAAAAATGGCGCTTGGTGGCGTCTCTGAGTTCAACCGTTCAGCCACGCAAGTTGTTCAGGGGAACCTACACAGGAGTACATGCAGTTCTGAAGGTTCTACGGGGCGGTTCTTGTTGTCAGAATGCACAGAACCTTTTAGGCAGCACTAAAATGCCTTTTTAAAAACTATTTAAAGCAGACTGGGATTTTCAGGAAGGAGTCCTGAAAGAGGCAGCAGCTAAAACGGAGCGTTTCAGAGAGACTGTTAGAAGAGGTGTTACAGCAGTGAACAGTATGAGGGGAAAATTAGGTGTTTTTTGAACATTAAAACATATAAACGTCTTCACGTAAACCCCCAAAATACAATCACAAAACTGAAAATATGCACAATATGCACTCTTTAACATATTGCTTTAAAAACCACTGGTTCATATTAAAATGCAAATAGATAAAGACAGACCTCTGTTTTGGGAATTAGAAATGAACAGACACTATAGATGAATATAACTGAAGAAATACATCCATCCATGATCTACACACCACTTAATCCTCACTAGGGTCATGGGGGGCTGGAGTCTATCCCAGCTGACTCAGGGTGAAGGCAGGGGACACCCTGGACAGGTCACCAGTCTATCACAGGGCTACACTTAGAGACAGACAACTAAGCACACTCACATTCACACCTACGGATAATTTAGAATTAACCTTAACGTGTTTTTGGACTGTGTGGGAGGAAGCCGGAGAACCCGGAGAGAACCCATGCTGCATGGGGAGAATATGCAAACTCCACGCAGAAAGATCGTGAACCGGCGACCTTCTCGCTGCGAGGCAACGGTGCTAACCACTGCTCCATCCTGCAGCTCTTGAACATATTGCTTTAAAACCCATTGGTTCATATTAAAATGCAAATAGATAAAGACAGACCTCTGTTTTGGGAATTAGAAATGAACGGACACTCCAGATGAATATAACAGAAGAAACACAATGTTTAGAAAACATCAAATATTTTACACAGGTCAGATTATATTCTGAAACCGTCTACAGCCCATCCTACCAATCACTGAGCTCTACCTTCTGTCTGCAGTGTGAACCCAGTCGACTGTTTGCCCCTTTGTGGTGTTTGGATCGTAGAAATAGAGGTGAAATAGATGGAAATTGTGTGATAAGGAGGGATTATCTTGTTTTTTTTTGTTTGTTTTCACTGCACCTAACAAAATCCCCTGGACATGAAAATGCAAGACAGAAAAAAAAAACGTCACCACAGCTGCTGTGGCTGTCTGAACCAAACCTGCACGTCCATAACGCTGCCATTATCCACAGACACACCACTAATCATGCATAGGTCGTCCCTCCATTTGAGCTGCTGCTGAAATTTGCAGCTGATGACAAAGTGAAACGGTGCTGTCAGTGGGCAGAGACGTGCAGCTGTGTGCAGAGCGATCCTCCTCTTTTGGACCCGCTGGAGTTTTAATCTCCAGCAGAATAATGAGATGTTAAGTTGGCTGAGTTGCGAGGCCATCATCACACAGCAAGGTGTCTCTCTCTTTGTGTCCCGGCGCCGATTAATCGGAAGCAGGGTCCAGATTTATTCACGCTTTTGTTTTATCTGCGAGACCAGAGAGGACGAAGTCAGATTGCGCAGCGCCCCCCCTGCTTCACTGATTCAGTTTCACCGAAAATAGAGTTGAATACCGTTCACATGAGGCAGATCTGAGTTGGTCTGCAGCGATGAAGCAACGACGCTGTAACTAAAAATGGTGATTAATGAGATGTTGCATTGCATTTGATGTGATTCACCAGGCAGGCTGAACAGAACCCTGACAAGCGTGCTGATTTTTCAGAGTCCGTGGGCCTCCGTGGTCGTCTCCTGAGGAAAATCGAGGCCCTGATGGCGGAGCAGAGCGGCTCAGAGGCCCCCGATGAATTTCTGTGTCCAATCACCAGAGAGCTGATGAAGGATCCGGTCATCGCTGCAGGTTAGTCGGAGAGCAAATGTTGAAGAACGCTGACGTCTCAAACTGAGTCAGAGGCGGTTTGTTTCCACGTCCTCTGCATCGTCTCAGTGTATACACCAACACGGTGCATCTGCTCCACAGATGGGTATTCCTATGAGCGAGAATGCATCGAGAGCTGGATCCGAGGCAAAAACAAAACCAGCCCGATGACCAACCTGCCCCTCCAGACGACACTCCTCACCCCCAACAGATCTCTGAAGACGGCGATAACACGATGGAAGTCGAGCCAGTAGAGAGCAGCTCGTCTGTCAGAACTGAACATTTATTTTATGATTAAACAGTAACCTGATAAGTTATTACCGTTTTATTCTGGGCGCCGCTCGCTCACATAGTTCTGTTCGGCCGAACGTTTGCACACCAGCCGAACACGAGGTGATGCCTTATTTGTAAAGAGGACACTTCATTAGGAGAATCCCGCATTAGACTGAGGTTCTGCTGCTGCAGTGTTACTCGGTGTGACGTGACGAGCAGCTTATGGTGGTTAATCCGTTTTCCAGGAAGCTGCAGCATAAATTGAAAAACACACTTCAGATAAAGCAGAAATCCTACAGTTATAACGAGCTTATTACTGCCCCCGAGGCTGGATGGCAGAAAACACACACTGGTGCTTGAACTGTCGAAGTTGCAGTGGGTGTCCAACACGTGGCAACAGTGAGCCCCCTAAACTCAGAAAACTAACCAGTGACACAAAGAGATTTTCAGCTCTGATCTCTTCATTAAAGGGTAGAAGCTCGTCTTCTACTGGACACGTGATGGTCTTCCAGGCAGAAGTGACACCATCCTGAGTGCTCGGCTAATTCTAGCTCATTTTAGAAAGACATGACTGTGTAACCGAGTTATTTCAGCGGTATTATTGAGAAGTAAACGCTCTGGAAGAAATGAGTGGAAATCGTGTAATTACCCTTAAATTACCGTTTGTGGCCACAGCGGCAAAACTTAAGTCTCATATTATTGATCCGTTGCATCAGTTTTAAGCGTAAACAGCTGCGTGTTACACGTTTACACTCCTGTCGCGTGTTTGATGACGGTCGTTCTCCTAAAAATCTGCAGAGCGGAACTTTTCTCTCCCGTCTGGCAATGAGAGTAATTACACAAACGCTGTCGTTGCGCGCCTATGACACATCCCTCGCTGTCAACTCCTTTTTTTAGACGATTCTTTCCTCTGAATGTGATGTTTTTTAAAAAAAAATTGAGCATTTTCTTGGATGCTTCCTACCTTTTTCCCACCACAGGCTCCACCATACTGCTAGTTGCTCTGGAAAACCAGTCATGACTAGTCAACATAAAACCCATCGCTACGGGACACCAGATTCAAAACTTTGCTGTGAAATAAACAGATTCACGTGGCTCTGCTGGCTTCACCAGTACTGTGTGAACTCGTTTGGTAAAGACTGGAATTTAACAGACGTATATGCAGAAGTCCCCAGCTTTAATCAGCTTTGTGTTTTAAAAGAAAAGTCACCAGTGTTTCCTCAGTGGGTCTTTTATTTCTCTCCCATGGTGGCTATGGCAGTAATGTTCTATTACAGTATGTGATCACAGCTAATAAAGCTCACAATACTGAAAACATGGCAACAATTGCATTTAACGTACATAATAAAATAGAGCTGATGGCACTGTGCCCCAAAACCGTTTTCTGTTTTTTTTAATAGATTTTTTTGCTTTACTCTGTCATATAAACTGCAATTGTAGCATGCACTTAAATCTCAACATTATTGAGAATCATAAAATGTCTTAGTAGCTGTGCAAAAATAACTATATAAAATATATTGCTTTTACAATTAACCAAGCCATTGGCGCTGTAAATAAATTAAACTAGACAGCAACAACAAGCAGATACAGAAAGGGATTCAGTGTTAATGGTGATTTATATAATGTACAAATATATTTAACAAATGTTTTTTGTTTTGTTGTTTTAGAACCTTTAACACCATTTGAACAACATTGTGCCTAAAACTCAAAATACACAAGTTTGAACTTGTCAATACACTTAACATAGACCTTCACTGAAAAGAAGGAAGTACATATTTATAGAATATATACACAACATGAGGATCTATAACATCCTTCGTAAAACACAGGAATGCCCGTCCCTTAGACTTCTCTGACTGAGGACTTCCTCTTCCTTATTTCTCCACTCAGCACCATGGACGTGATGAACACAGTTCAAAGCCCATTTCCAGTCGCCCATTCAGAACTGTTCCACAATAACATTATGCTGTAATTGAATATGTTGTTTAAGCACTTGCAGGGCCTAACTGTGTGTAAAGTGCTCGCTGTCGCCATTTCGTTGATGGGGATTGTACAGTACATGTCCAAATACTTCCTTCAGTGCAATGTCTCCAGCTTGGCTGAACGACGGCGGACATGTTGTCGCGTAACAGAAGCTGACAGCCCTAAGCGGCAGATTGGGGACGAGTAAAACTTGGAGCATTCGGTACGCTGCTTGGTGTCTGTATTCACAGGAAAACAAACAGCTTGCAAACTGTACTTCTTACAAGGCTTAATAGTGAGACTGTACTGTGTGGGACCAGTTCAAAACAAATTAAAACAAGTCCCTCTTGCTTTAGAGTTTTGCTAGTGTAGTGTGTGTTTGTGTGTGTGTTTGTGTGTGCGTTGAGGACTGTAAGAGAGATAAAACAAACACTTTTATACATTTGACTCTATAAATGATCGCTTTGGTTTCATTGAAGCTACGTGAATGGCAGGATTATCTCGGGATAGGCCAGGCTGCTTGGGCTTACTGTCCACGAAAGTGTGCGGCATAGCCAGTGCTGGCTTGGACTCTTTGTAACAGTTGGCAGCTTGGCAGAACTTTTCTGCAAATTCCTTGGCATGCATGCCGTTTTGTAAGCTACTCATCGCCATGCCACCCTGAGGTGGTGGAGGTTTGTGCTGCTCCTGGTAAGTGCTCACTGTTTTGCCGTAAGAGAGCTCGCAGTCGACAGGCTGCAGGTTCATTGCTGACATATTGTGACACACGAGGCCGTCAGAGGAGTGGTTCAACCAGCTGCGACCGGCAGACTGCAGGCTCGGGTGACTCTGCAAGCCGTGGTGCTGCTGCTGCTGCTGTTGGATTTGCTGCTGCTGTTGCTGAAAGCGTGCCGTCTTGTCAGTTATGCCCATGAAGGGTCTGGGTTTGTACTCTGCTGTAGAGCTGGCCTGCTGGCTGTGCTTTGCTTTGTCAGAGATCTTGGTGCGGACATCGGGTCCTAGCTTGCCGCTGTCCGACAGGCTGCTGCTGGACGCCAGGCTGCTGGTGGAACTGGACACACGCATGCTGCTGCTGCTTCCTCCCTGAGATCCAACTGCACCACACATCCCTTCCTTTCCTGGGTCAGCATGGCTCCCCTGGAGGCCAGGACCAGAGCAGGCCAACCCATCCAGAGAGGAGGCAGAGTGCGCAGACAGCCGGTCTTGCCCCAGACCTTTGGAGCTGCTACAGGATGAGTAGGAGGCCTGGGAGCAGTGGAGGCTCTCACTTTCACAGCTGTGACCTGTGGAGGTGGAGGCGGCTGCCAGCAACATGCGGTTCCCATATACAGGCTCGTCAGGTGCAGGCAGAGGACTGATGTCGATGCCTGGGCCCGGCTTCAGCATGCTGGACATGTGTCTGCTGGGTAAGGGGCTGGAAGGTGCGTAAGATTTGGACCCTGCAGAGCGGCCCCCCACAGCGCCTCCTCCAGCCTGCATGGAATTCATGTGCTGATTGGTCTTGACAATCTGGGCCTGCTTGGTGGGCTGCAGGACCAGACCTTGCTGGGCCAGCGCCTCACGGTGCTCTCTCGGGTAGCGGTGGGGAGGAAGCCTGTTGGGGCCCGGAGGAGAGCTGGGGGTCAGACTCTGATGCCCCAAACTGTTACTGATGGTTGCCGACTCGGAGGGTAGCACTCTGTTGAAGGGGTAACTGTTCTGGGACCAGCAGGCTTCAGCCGTCCTGTCGTGCTGCAGGTCCTCCTCCTCCTCTTCCTCCTCTTCAAGAATGTCTCTTTGTCCGTCCACGCTCCTCGCAAGGCTGTGCTCCGAGGGGTCCTCCTGACCTTCGTCCTGCTCCTGGTCAGACTCGTGGCCTCCTGAAGCCTGGCTGGAGGCGGCTGCAGCCCCGGCCAGGCCTCCTTTGGTCTGAGTTCGCTGCATCTGTTTGCACTCCTCCTCAACTCGAGCCAGCAAGCGACGGATTTCCCGGTTGTTGGGGCACAGCTTGGCCGCTTCGTGCAGGTCAGCCATGGCCGCCGTAAACTGTCTGCGGACGGAGGGAGGCATTGTTACAAGATGCACGACAACTATGTAAAGCTGCTGTGGAGCTGCTCAATAGCTTACCTGCTGCTTCTTTTAGCTCTGGCGCGGGCATAGTAGGCCTCATAGGATTTGGGTTTCAGCTCCAGTGCTTTTGTCGCAAACTCCTCAGCCATCCCGAAATCCTACAGAAAGAGCAGGATCAGTGCATTACAGCGAGCCGGTTCGTGCTACGGTGAATGTTAATGAGAGACTTTAATTCAACCGTTATATTCGGCTACACGCAGCTTTGAAGGGCAGGTATCATCTGCTTTATATCACAGACAATATTTTGAAACATTAGGTGATGGTCTAATTTGATGGATGAAATATTTCTCTGGCGTTTTATGCTCCCTGTTTGAAGTGATGAAAGAGCTGGCAGGCACCCCAGGTGGAGTTACTGTAGAAACAGACAACCCAGTGCTGCCTGTTTTGCTCATACTTTCTGCTGGCCTGCAGCATATTATTGCATAAACAGCTGGCTGGCTACAAAAGTCTTCCTGCTTGACTTGGACTTATGCAAACAAATTCTTTCTGCAGAAACAATCATTCAGGAAATAAAAATATACAAACGCCAAAAAGCTTTAAAAAATTTAAATTCTCTTTATGTTTACTCTGAGGTCATTTAAAAAAAAAATCAGTCGAGCTATAATCATGACACTTATTTTGTAAGACATGAGCGAGCTGGCAGGTTGGCACAAGCAGGTACCAGAAGTGTTTCACAAGAAGATTTGAGGAGATTGAGTCCACTGCCCAGGATATTTGCTCCAGCCGTCTCCCGTCCATGTTACCATCTGAACACTAACAAGCTTCCCCTGCCTGCCCAGGCTCAAATTATTTCACATGCTGGAATCACAGAACACAGCTTTTCCATAACGTATCAAACAATTGGGGATACCATGCCAGAGAAATGCCTTTTCCAAATATCCATTTAGCAGTGAAAATATTAGTACACACTAACTAAAATCTGGTGAGTGGATTGCCTCATCTGAAGTCACTGAAGGGATCATGCTAAAAATACAGCGCTGGCTGAGGAACAAAGACAATAAAGAAAGTGGAGGGGTCTCCAGAGAGGCTTACATTGGTTTTTCTGCGACAGCGGGAGAGATTGAGGTACAGAGAGACCCTCAGGTCTTTAAATGCCTTCAGGTCATCACCAAAGCCTTCTCGAGGAAACTTCCTCAGGGCGTACTGGTACCTCTGGGCTGCCTCTTTCATCTTCCCTTTCTGGAGGACAAACGGAGGGCAAACATACAGTGAGGAAGGAACCAGAAGGAAAAGTGGGAAACGTGGGGGGAGAGAAGCAGGGCAAGGTATTCACCAGATACTCCCACAATATCTGTTCTCTGGCTCAAGCCCTCCTTTCTCATTAATCACACGTACTAGCTCAAACAACACACACACACACGCATTTGTAGAGCTACGTTTGTGAGGACACTCACTGACACAATGCCTTATTCTAACAAGTCTTAATCCCTCAAACAGCCTTTTGAAGGTGTTTTTTTTTTTTTAAAAACGGGGAAAAAAAAGTGAGGACTCTGCTCACTCTGATAGTTTAAAACCCAAAATGGTTCTCACAAAGATAGCTGAACAGTTCCACACACACACACACACATATGCTAACGCGGCACACGTTTGTCCTTTCTGCTACTAAACTCAATCTGTTAAATGTCAGACATCGATCATGTCACCTTTGGTAAGTGGTGTGGAACATGCACATCTATTCATTTTCTACATTTAACTAACTAAGAGAAATCATTACTTTGTGTTTAACTGAATTGTATTGATCAATTCTTTCCATATATACTTAAAAAAAAAAAAAGATATAATTTTATAGCTCAGATAATGACTGTGTTTGTCTTTTAAGTCCAGCGAGACGTCTCACGCATATAAAACATTTCATTATTATCGGAAAAGTGCCCTTTACATTTGACAAGAGGTGATTTCTACGCCAGTTGCACATTACCTTGTAAAGCAGGTTTCCTTCCTCCATCAGCTTCTGAAGAAGAATGATGAGGATATCAGGCTTGGAAGTAGCCATGGCCCAGGCAGCGTTCCCTGTGGACGCAGAAGGCATGTTATGTTGCTGTTTCTGGTGGGAACAGATGGTCACCGTATTCTCTTGAAATTGGTACAAGGTAAAGTTACCTAAAGATTGTACCTGATCGATCATAAGGAGACGTTCTGTAGCCTTAGTTTATTGAGAGCAGTTAAGAAAAAAAGCAAGGAGGGAGAGAGTGAAGAGAAGAGACGTCATGCGGCAGCAAGAGTTGTCATTGTAGTGAAAGGAAAATGAGCTACAAAGTGCTCTGTGACGATATACAATTATGTGTCACTCAGCTTTAAATGGCCTCGTATTTGCAGCAGTAAATGCATGCAGTCTGTGCTCAGGGAAAATTTAAAGGTTCAGCCCATCGCTAATTTTTTATTTTTTTTCTGAGACAGCAGAGTGCACTGCAGATAAGCCGCAGACCCAGATAGCTTTATGAATGTCATTTGGGTGATAAGTCACATTCTTAAATTAGTCAAGCAGCACATGAGGGAGAAATGGAACTGACGTACCACTAAAAGTGAGGGTGTGCACACACACAGGCTGGAGAGTGAGCGACAAGCAGGAATTTTTCCACAACATTCCACAAAATTTGCCTCAGCTTATTCTTAGAAACATGAGATACTGAGCAAGACGCAAACAAGCTCGACGGAGACAAAACAGTTAGTGTTTACTGAGATGTGAGAGAGCTCGGTGCCCTATAGACAGCATCGTGGGGACCACAGACCTAACGGTTACCAAATGGTGTTTCACAAACTGACAGCAGAGTATCTGCACACAAAGCTACACGTTGGAAATAAATAAATACACAACATGCTTTACATTTACAGAAGCTTTTACACATTTAGTAATAAAAAATACGTGTTCTTACCTAGCTTGGCCCCCTTCTTCAACAAAGTCACCACCACCGACGTGTTTCTACAACCTATGGCCCGATCCAGAGGCCTCATCCCACTATGGTCCACATGCTCTATCACTGCTCCTCTTTCCACCAAATACTGGACCTACAGGAGACCGCAGACGGTGAGAAACACACCAACAATGCAGCCACAGTCGGGCGCTAACACGCAGCAGTATGTGTTCAATAACGGCACTGGAATGTGTCTGAGTGAACACTTAGGGATGTTTTCAATAAGTCTAAATCAATTTCACTCACAATCTCCGCATCTCCGTAGAAGGCAGCGAGGTCCAGGGGAGTTCGTCCATTCTTGTCTGTGTGGTCGATGACCGCACCTTTCTCCACCAAAAACTGCACCACATTCTTATGTCCTTTTAAACATGCCCAGCTCAGGGGCATCAGTCCCTCCTTGTCCATCGAAGTCAAAGATGCACCTTTGAGACAGACAATAGTCATTAAGCACTTCATAATAACACACTGTTCATTAAAATGCATTCAGCTAATGGACATTCGCTGCCTCAGACTAATTAGTGGAGACCCTGTTGTGTCATAGCTCACCTTTAGAAAGCAGAAACTCAACAGTACTCAGGTGACCCTCACAGGCAGCCACCATCAGTAGGGTCCGGCCCTGTTTGTCACTGATGTTTATGTCAGCACCGTGCTGCAGCAGCAGCTCTGCAATCTAAGAACCAGGAAGAAGAGAACAGAAATTTACTGTATAAAATGAACAGCGCTCACAAAGAGCCTTTGGTAATTTATGAGGAACGATGTATTTGTGTGCAGAAACAACTGGACTAGACTTAACTCTAAAGTCATACAATAAAACAGAGTACACAACAGAAGTGAGTACAATCTGTGCAACATCATGTCAACGTCAAATGATTGAAATCTGTATCACCTCTGCTCTAAAATTAAAAATTAACAGTTTAGATTTACTGTATCACTAACACAGGCCTCACATTAAGAATTCAATGCAACGGAAGTCAGTATAACTTTAATAACTGAAATGCAAATCTATAATTTTTTCAATCCATCATATACTCAGCGATATTAATGGTGACAGACTCAATCAACTTCAGCATGGACGGTATCACATTTCTAGAGAGATACACCATTTCAGAGGTTTTTTTTTTCCCAGCTGCTCTTTGCAGGAGCTGCTCTTCTTTTCTCTCTCTGAAGGTGTTTTATTGGATTCAAGTCAGGCAACTTGCTTGGCCATGTCATAGTTTTTTTTTTCTTCTTTTGAAACACTTGTGTGATTTTGGCATGGCGTTGTGGATCACTATCCAATGGAATAACCCTCGTCAGCCAAGCTTCTGCAGACTGGGAGCCATCTAGTCAGCCAGTGTTTTGATATAAATCCACATGCCTTCATTTTTGCCGTCTATAAATGTCATCTTCCCAACAGTATCATCCAACTCCCACCTCCATGCTCCAATGACCAGGTTCACACCAAACATGCTGGACTCCATCTGAGCGCAACAAATTTATCTTGGTCTCGTCGGACCAAAGAACGTTCTTCCAATATTTGTCGGGCTTCTTTTCATGTATTGTAGCAAAGTTAGATCTCGAAGTTCAGTGCTGAAGAGCAAGCTAGATTGTTTTTCGTGGGTGCTCTGTATGGAGTTTCATGTTATACAATGTCCTTCACACTGTCTGCGCTGTCACAGAAACTCACATTTCTATTGAAAGACAGGGTGCTAAGTGTGAAGCACTTACCCGACTGTTTGTCAGAGCTTGATTGTGAACGTAGCACCCTGTATGTGGTGTCACTTTAGGAGGACTGCCACTGTAGCTCTGATTAGTGGCACTATGGCTTTTTCTATACCTCCTGATTGCTGGTAAAACTGTTACCACTGATTTTATTTGGTCTCTGTTCTTTCGGTGTCCTTTATGCATTTGTGTATTGTTTGTGAATTCTCACGATAAGATTTTTAAATTCCTCCTTTAAAACTGATAGAGTTGTGGTGTTCACAAGTCATTTTGTCAACATGTTGATGCAATTTGTGTAATTGAAAATCACAGCTGTACTCAAACGTCACAAGTTCTCTAACCTGTGTGTGAGTGATCACAGGTGTATTCACATATGTTTCATTCAATTTCTACTTTGGGGTCTGTATTTTCAATTTAGTCTTTAGGAAGTGTCCATGAAAGATGAAACTCTTTACTTGTCAACTAAGAAACAATGCATTTTTTTTTTTAGGTGATGCAATTTGAAGTCATTTGACATTTAAGGGATTTTGCACAGGGGTGAACTTACTTCAGTTGTATACTGCATCAGAGACTGTTGGACCGAGATACGGAAGAAGAAAAATACTGAGGTGTAATTGTAGTGTAGTGTGGGTTACTGTGCACACAGACGGACTCAACAAAAGCTTCACACAGCAACTCTCACCTGCCAGTGTCCCTGTCTGACGGCACAGAATAGAGGAGATACCCCCCGCCGGTTGACCTGCTGCACCACCGCCCCCTGCTCCAACAAGAAGCTGCAGACCTCCATCTTCCCCCGGCCAGCTGCAGCCGTCAAGGCTACAGTGGAAGAGAGGAGGACAAACACACACATTTGTTTAGACGTGATGTAGGCATGGATTCTTTCTTAGATTTGTGCAGAGGAACCAGTTGAGGTGAGGATACAATGCAGTGCTAAGGTAAGAGTGGAACTTAAAACCAGCCATCTCAGCAGCACTCAGCTACAGAGGACCCTGTATGGCAGGAACATTAGTGAACATAACATGTACTGCACACGGTTTTCTGCAGGAAATTCACAGCATCCGCTGCCTTTATTAACCCTGGAGTGCGTGGAAAACAGAGAACTTGGACATAAATAGAGACTCCAATCCCAGAATCTCTTCTATCCTTTTCAAAAGAAAAATTCTGAGCAGAGAAATGCAAGCTAATGTTCATTGCTAATTGAGTTTAAAACCAGATAATTATGTTTATGCTTATTAAACTCATTAAAGTCATGCCTCAAGTTCCCTAAGCCGAGTACAGAGAGATGAGAATTCAGTCATTTTATGCATCAGCAGACAAACATTAGACAACAAAGTCAAACAGTTCAGTTAAACACCCATTCTTGTTTATACTTTGTATCTTTCTCAAACCAAGATTAACTGGAATTAAACGTCTAATTAGCATTAAACAAAGCAAAAAAAATAAAACGCTATTAAATGGTTCTTGTAAAGAGAAGACGGATTCTTGAAATGCTGGATGCTTACAGTTAGTCAGCAGATGGAGTGGTCTTAAATGAGTGCTGGTTATCCAAACAAAGTGAGATCCACCGAAAGAATCAGAGCAGATCTGCTCTCACATTCACCTCAGAGATTTAAGGTACCGCTGAGCCTCCATATCTGACTGACATCATCCATCTGGATGAACAGCCATCAGAGCCAAACAACCCCACCCTCCATCTGCTCAAAATATGGATATCCTCACACACTGCACAGAACAGAACAATAACTCCGAGCAGCTAAATTTAGGCTGTTTGTGCTCCAGGGAGCAACATTAGCAACACTTGGGATGGTCCTAGGTTACAAAGAACACAGAACAGCTGTACTGTTTGCTGATGTGTGAGAGCGATGCCCGTTTTTGCACAGCTCATTTTATTCTTCGAAGTTCGTCACGCTTACAGCCATTCCCATGCATTCATGCCAAATTGGTACCATTTCTTCACATCTTCAGAGGATACACACCAACATTTTTTTCATAGTAGAGCATCTCAAAATTCCTCCTTTTTGGACAGGGAGCTTCTTTTTCTAACTTGTGTGTGACTTGCCGCTCCAGTATTATCAAGTCTTCTTTTATCTTTTGTTTTGAAAGCTATTCATCAGCCTTGTCTCGGCACCTTTCTGCCAACTCCTCTAGCTCACCTACAAGCTACCTTGACAGTGTCTTGAGGAGGAGACTTTAAATCACTGTCTGATCGTAGATTTACAAGGTAAACACATACCGCTCCATTCCACCACCGCTGCACCACCAGACGTGAGAAGCCTAAACCACATCAACACAGAAGTGAAGCTTTGCAGATTAAAAAAACAACCCTGGAACCCTTTCTACAACATTGACAAATGCCTACAATCTTTCTTAACCGTAGTTGGCGATGTTTCAGGTTGTCCTTGCTTCTGTTATAGTTGCTTAGTCTTCTAATATTTTCCTCAAAGTCAAATCTGGTATTCAGAAATTCATACAAAATCAAATTAAGTATGATTCAAGGATTGACAAAATGTCAATTACAAAAGGTTGCTGGAAAATTCTGAAAAGCTACACAGACATCGATTTGTAAAACGGCAGCTTGCTTTGCATTTCAACTGAGCGCGCACACATTCTTAGCTTTGCCTCTGTCTTTGTGGACGGAATTTAAATGATGTTTTTTAAAGGTTTTCTTTTACTTTTTTTACTTCATATGTAGCCACTCAGAAACAACGCAGTAGAAGTGAGAAAAATATCCAAGGCTTTGGAAAGTTTGTTGTGATAAAAGCTTTTCTAGGGGTTGTTAAGTAAATCAAATTTAAAAGATTGAAAGTGTAGTGGTTTAAAATGTACGATTCATCCAGCTGCATGACGCAGTGCTACATGTGCTTTGGTACATATATATAATATACAATAATGCAGAGATGTTGCTTCTCATGAAGAAAAAGGTACCGTAAATTCTGGACTATAAGCGGCTACTTTTTTCACAAGATTTGAACACTGCGGCTTAAACCAGGGGTGTCCAATCCTGGTCCTCGAGAGTCCCTATCCAGCATGTTTTAGATGTTTCCCTCTTCCAACACACCTGAAACGATTCAGAATGTCGTTTTTGTCAAAAAAGGTCACGTTCCAGAATGTCCTGAAAACGCATCAGGATGTAGTATATAGTGGGAAAAGTGTCCTGAATGTGTTTAA